TTCCTGCATTTTAGTGTGCATTTTCCTTGTCACTGCATGTTGTCCCTATCCTGATAAAACACCCCATCGAGAGGCATTTCTGCTCGTGGTTTTTGTGCCTGTGCTAGAAACAAGAAGTGCTAGGGTGAGAGCTGGGAGGAGGAGAGGAGGGCACAAGGGCTGTACCGACACGTCCCACAACGGCTTGCTCACAGCAGAAAATCCCTTCACCTGCCAGGAGCTATCATTAGACAAGGCAACACTGGATTTTTTTTACCCTGAAAATGAACTTTAGGAGGATTTTCCTAGTCAAGTGCTTGCTGCTTTTGTTTCCCCGTGTAAAATGTGAGTTTTTCTTACCGTTTTTTGCTCTTTTGGGCTAGCATTGTTAAAATTGCTTTTTAAACCATTTACAACTGATAAGAAACTAGTTCCACTTTCCCAATGAGTGAAGACCTTTGGGTTATTGTTATTATTATTTGATTTAATTTTCAGCCGGGGGGGAGAGCAGAACTTGAGTTTCCTATTCCAGTTACAATAATAAGCTGTAAACAGTTTTGGTTTTAAGTTAATGAGCCTTAATTTGACACATGTATAATGAGAAATGTCAGCATGCAGTTTTCTCTCTGCCCTTGAGGTAGCTTGTACTACATTAGAGATCCAGTTCACAGTGCATTATCGCATGTAATTTCCTTTTCTTATCAAAGATGAGCAAATCTTTTGAAAGTGCAAATTATATTCTTCCATAAATATTAACAGAAAGAGTGATATATCTCAGTGTCTTCAGTGGAGTTGAAGCCTAAGATGTGAAAACAGCAAGCAAATACATACATCTTTTATATTTTGCATATTATTGCTCTCATTATTTTTTAAAATATTAATCTAAAAACCTAATTAAGGTGTTAACTCATAGATTAGAGAGAGTTATAAGAGATGGAGACAATACAATCATGCATAGATTTTTTTTTTCTCTGTTCATTCCACTACAGATTGTATGTATGGCTGTTTAATGCTTTTCTTTTCCTCCAGAACAAAATTAATAGATAAATAAGGATTTTTTTTTTTTTATGTGATATATAAAACATCTTCCCCAGCAGAACTGAAGATTATTCTCTTGAATGGAAAACTTGTTTCAAAGACTTCCTTACTTCTCTAAAGTTACTATGGGAGCTTGTCCTTATAACTCTTTCTTGTGACTGCAAGTGAGCTCTATGCAGCCACTTCAGATCTTTCTGCCCCTTGGGGTGCATTTCATTTGGCATTAGGAGAAATGCTGTTTCATTAGCTAAACAAATTTTTAGTATCATATGTGTGGGATACTCAACTTTCCATTAGCAAGACTATGGAAATCAGATAAACATCCAGAGATGTGTCTAGGTGGTCTGTCCATAGAGATGCCATTGAATTATCCTTGAAAACTTGGCTTTTTTTTTTTTCTTCACTTCCAGAGAGAAGGAATAAATGATAGTATCTGTTAGTAAGTAAATCCTATTACTAGCTCTAAATACCTGTGCGTGACTGACCAGAAACAAGTATCAGAATTCAAATATTTGGGTATAATCTGTAGTGTCATCTGTGTGGAGGATAGCTGCTTCCAAGATTGTTTGGTGGATAGCTTGATTTCAGAATGATTCATTAGATACATCAAATACCTTGTAAGAAATGCAATAGTGAAATAACAGCCTCTCCTTAGACTGGGGGTGAACTGCTGGAAGCCCTTCAGTATTAATTTTCTTGTTGCAGAGGCACACTATTTTAGTTCTTTAATTATCGCTAAGATTGTTAGTTTCATGAAATGGCAAATGGATTTCAGTTCCCCCCCCCGCCCCGTGATATAGTTTATCATTGTCCTAGATACCAGGAATGAAGGACTGTAATAGAAATACGCATAAACATAGTTTTTCTCACTGTGGGGAAAAAGTGCTTAAAATACATAAAATTAGAGCAGAATCAGCTCTATATGGTGGTGTGAGGAGAAATCCCCTCCTGCCGATCAACTTTATCCTGTAAATTGAAGAGGAATGAACACAAGAAAATGGCAAATGAAATAAGCCGTGGCTCTGAGTGCACATTGGGTTGTCAGTGAGCTTCTCCCACCTGACACCTGCGAGCACTTTTCTACCTCCTCCTGCAAATTTTACACCTGCCACGGGGGTGGAGACAGTACCTTACCTGAACTGACCTCCCGACAAACTTTGCACTCCGAAGTCTGGGTTCACCGGCGATGGGCCCTGCAAAGGCAGGCTGGAGGGGAGAGGGCAGCCACCCAGGCACAGCCCGAAGAGTGCATCATCTCCACTGGTACTAACGTGAGTGATGTTTAGCAGCCTTGGCTTTCCTGAATATCCGCTTCAGCAGCCACACGCTAAGTGCAGCCCAGTCCTGGTAACACCTTTGGGATGCACCTACTCTTACCTGTTCTGGAGAGGGGACCTGCCATCAAAGGAGACTTGCAAAGAGAAAAGATTTTTTTGGGGCCTCTGCTTATCTCCCAATGTCTCCAGTGCCTGCCCGATCAGTTCATAGGATGTGGTCAGCTGTTTGTTTCTCCCCACCTTACTTGCCCCACCGTGATCCTGTGCTAGAAAAATCAAGTGGATATATTCCGGCGGGGCAGGGTGCCCGGGATGGGTGAGAAGGGCGCACTGCAAGCTGGCAGCACCGGGTCTGCCTCCAGTTCAGTGCCTTACACTCACTCACTGCTTGACATGGGCCACTATTATTACTATTATTATTGCCATCACTGTTATTGCCGAACTGATCCTACTGTCCAGGGCCACTACTAGTTTGTGTTCTTGCTGTCCGCAGTGATGTTTGCAGTGATGGGTGCTCTGAGAGCCAGCCGGTGCCATGTGCAAAACATGCCGAAGTGACCTCATTTTCAGGAATGGTTAAGTTCAGGGTTAAGTTCACAGGCAGCTATGAATCTTGGCATCCAAAATTACTCCGAATAGGTCAGTCAGAGTATAAAGCCAGCTTTTGAAAGCCGGACTCTTAGCTTCCTCTCCTCCCAGAATTAAATTGGGTGCTGACATTCATCTAATGAATGATCAAGAGGCACTTTGGAGCAGGGGAAGAAAACAGCATCAGTCACGAAGAGAGGCAACTCAGAGAGGGTAGCAAGTGACAGCCTTTTGGGTCACCGTGATGGCTGCCAAGCATGGCAGTGGGGTCTGCTGGAGACACACTGACGAGCTGGTTGTGCTTCCCTTTACAGGCTCCGTCACCAACTGGATTTACACGGCAGTGAATGAGACGGCTCTTCTCAGCATCGCTGCTGCTGGGAGCATATATGATGCAACGTGGCTGAGAGACAGACAAAGGTTGCTTCAGATAAAAGATAAGAAAGTTAAGTACTATGTGAACAAGGACCAGTGCAGGTGTAAGATCCTCCTAAATGGGACTCTGCAAATAGAGCATGTGGTGAAAGAGGACAGTGGAAAGTACACAGTGACTGTTTATCAGGATGATGGAAAATTGAAGGCAGAAGAAGACATAATGTTCATTGTTCAGGGTGAGTTTTTGCTCTGCCCATACCATTCCTAGCATAGCTGAATAAGACTTGGTATTCCCATTCTCTCCTACAGCCTTTCCTACTTATTGCCCCCCTTTCTGTTTTGGGGGTACTTCTGTGAGATGTACCTCTTTCCTCCCGCCACTGACAGCAGTCTGCCACTCTTCTCCCTTCTCTTGCTCCTATTGATGCCCTCTGGTCGCCTGCTTCTTTCTGGCTCCCCTCTCTGTCAGCCACCAGATTTCTATGTGTGCCCAAGCAAGCAGCCGTGAGCACGTCTGTGTTGGCAGCAGGGTGAGTGCGGACGGCCGTACTGCAGCACTGCATGTGGTGCCGGGACCCCTCGGGCCCTGAGCTGTGCTCTCAGCAGCACCCTGCTTCCAGAAACTTCTTGTGGGTGCACAGCAACCTGTGGCTGTGGCACTGTGCACTTCTGGCACTTCTGGTGCTATTTTATAAGCACTGAGTTACGACTTTCGGTCTCTAGCTACTGCTCCAGCAAGGTGAGCACCTTGTGTTGCATCTGCCAGCCTCCTGAGGAGAGCTCAGATGGCACTAAATGCCTGTATTTAGGCAACGCGACCCCACTCCATTTTTGTTCTAACATGAAAAATAGCCAGCAGTCACCTCCCCTGAGATACACCATCATAGGTGTTGAATTTGTAGGGGAAGAGGACTCCTGCACCCTATCCTAGCATAGCATAACACAACAAATACAAAGATTGTACTGTTCAAAGCACACTTAAGCAGACGCCTGGGGATTGCATCTGCATGGGTTCAAAGCACGAAGGCAGCTTCCATTCCTGTGCTGTACCTCGTCCTGAGAGATCAGAGCTGTAGCAGCTCAAAGATTTTGGGATGACTAGGGAAGAAGGTGGTGGCTCTTCTGGTCCTTTATGGCCGCTGTCACCTCTCCAGACCACTCAGCTGTTGGGCAGCGTGTTTTTTTTTTCCCAGCAAGAAGATGATTTTGCTGTGTCCTTCCTCAGCCAGCATGCACAGCTCTGCGAGCCTCTTGAGTTTGTGGGCACCAGTGGTTCTACAGAAATGATGCCTCAGTGAGGCAGCAGCAGCAGCAAAGAGAGCTGGAATGGCTTCTGCGCAGGGGGAGGCCCTGTGGCTAACAGACTGCTGAAAAGTGACGGTGTCTCACTGCCTTGGGAATTATTATTGCTAACTGTCTACCAATTCAGGAAGTCATCAGGGCCTGATGCTACTTACTTAAGCTTTAAGGCACTGGGCTGTCATTGGGTGTCCTGGGTTCAATTTCAGGTTAAGGTTGCAACCTAGCTATGTGCTGCATCATTTCATCTACCGTGCAGCAGAGCGGTTGCCTTACGTCTGATAGCGGTTTTGAAAGTAAAGTCCTTTAGTAACTGTCAAGTGCTAGAGTCCTTTGTCAGCCAGATTATACTTGGTTACTAGGGTTGGACAAACAGTTGTTCCAAAAAAATAATAGTTTAGATGATATCATCACAGAAGTCCATCACCAGGACCTGGACTCTAGTGTTTCACACTAGGGTGTTCCCCTGACTGATAGGTTACAACTTGCAGAAGAGGAGTGGGCTTAACAAGGAAAGGGTGGCTGCAAATGTCACAGTGTGAACCTAGACTGCATTTGCTATCAAGCAACCCTTATTGGCTTTAAAATGTATGCTCTCTATAACTTACACTGTCTCTAACTACAGGTGGCTCTGGCATGATGTCCCTGCCAGTTGCCCCTAGCTGAGGAAGGCCCCGCAGGCTTTTCTGGCTCTTTCAGTGCCACCAGTGATAGAGAATCTGGAACAGAAACGTAGCTGGTGGTTTGCAGGACATAAGAAGAGACCGAAATCAGTTCTCTCTGTCATAAGCTCATTGAAAGCTAAGAGGTGTCTGGTTTGTGTTTTCTCTTCTGTTTTGATGGGTTTTCATGCTGTGGCTGTCGTGCTAGCTGAGTGCCTTTGGTAGTACCTAAAGCATCGTAAGTAGCTGTTTGCCCTGCCTTAGAAGAAATCTCTCCTGACGGCCACAGGCACATCAGAGTCAACCTCATTTGCACCAAAACACTGGGGCCGAGTGGGAGGGGGCTGTGGCTCCCAGTCCCTCCCATCCGCCGCCTCCCCCCCGAAAACACAGCTTCCTCCCCTCGCCCGCCTGGCTGGGAGCCAGGCTGAGCCTGAAAGTAGTCCAGGCGTGGCGGTGCAGCTATGCTTTGCTCGGCCAAACGTGCAGGCTAATATACTGCATTTCCTTTATTATTGCCATGTTACTTCTGTAGTAGGGGTCTAATTTGCTCTTCATTTTTCTCTGGTTTCATTAGCTGCTGTTACTCCCTTACTGCTCGTTGGGGGCTGATGCTCTGTTCTGCTTAATAATGGAGGTTTTCAAAAGGAGAAACCATCTCAGATGTGCCTGTCCCTTCTCTTCTTTTTCAGAGCCTGTCCCTCAGCCAATCCTCAGTGCTGAATGCATGAATAAAACTGTATCTGTCAAGTGCGAAGTGAAGCAGAAGAGTAAAGACGAAACATTTATAATAGAACTGACACAGGATAAAAGCAAAAAAATCCAAAAGAATGCAACAAAGTTGGAATTGCGCACGCAGTATTCTGGGACGTTCACATGTGTTGTTAAGAACCAAGTCAGCAAAAAAAAGGCTGAAAAAGTAATTAAGTGCTCAGGTAAAAAATTTATTTTTGCCAGAATCTTCTAGGGCAGACCCAGAAAGCCTGACACAGTTGCACATATCTGTAGGACTGGTCCAGGTGCCGGGGGAGGATTGACGGTTCCGGGTACCCAGTATTGAGAGTCTAACGCTGCCGCAGTTATCGGGAGCCAATGCTGCTGTGGTAGCCAGGACGTGAGTCGTGCTTTCTGCTTGCCGTTCCCCAGCCTTGTCGCATCTCCACCCTCCCCACCCTGCTGCTGCCTGCCCCACTGCTACCCTTATGGCACCCCTGCTCCAGCAGCAGGGAGGCCAAGCAGGGGACAGTGGGATGTGAGGTGGGCCATGCTCCACCTCTTCTCCTGCGGCCAGCCGTGTTTTGCCCGATGCTCAGTGAGGTCTGGGGATCGCTGGAAGAGGAGGAGAGGTTTTTCTGGAGTCAAGGACCTTGTGGGTGGCAGAGAGGCCCCAGGGGTGCACTGCAATGCTGCTTCCACTGGAAGTGAAGTCTTCTGGGGGAAACTGCAGCCTGCCAGCGAGATCAAGCTGGCTGAGGGGTGCATGAATGAGAGAGAGATTCTTGCTCATCCTGTAATTTTCTTCCTCCCCTCCATCACTGCCGAGTCTTCTTCCAAAAGTTGCCAGAGGTATCCTGACAGACTTTTTGGTGTCAGCATCCTGATGGACTCAAGTGGTGTCAACCATCACTATTGGTAGACCAGTGAAGTAAAGGAGCAAGTGGGGAGGTGGGCTTGAAAGTGTTTTAATCCCACACAGCCATCTGCAAAAGGCAGAAAGCACTTCCCCCTCATTTTTATCCTCCTTTATTCCTTTAAAACTAATGGTATTTCCCAGAGGTTGACTTCAGTCAATCTGTCCAAAGCCAAGGAGTTGACTTCAGTAAGATAGTATAAAACTACCCAAGCTACCACGACATAAATGAACAGCTTATTTTTGGAAAATATGGCTTGGGATCTTCTCCTATGTATATGAAGCCATGGCATTGATTTCAGGGGATTTGCTCTTGATTTACATTCTTATGGTGGGGAAATCAGTTGCACATTATTTTTCTCCTCTCCATTTCATACCTATGAAGGTGGTTGTTGCCCGCTAACTGTAGATGTGAATGGGTGCTCTCACAAGGGCAAGAATAAGCTGCTTGGACTCTCCAGCTTGGCCTAGAAATCAGGAGGGAGGTTATGGAGAACTTAGCTGAGCTTTGGGGTTGCATGGCTCAGATGAACATGGCTCAAATGTACCATGGATTTTCTTACTCACTTGAAGCAACAGCCTTCTAAACCACAGATGGAGCAAAACAACTGAAGCAATTGCATTTTAAATGGACAGGGTCATGCTGAAAATTATTAGATAGGCAAAAGTAGTCATCGCTCCCCCCTGTAAAGGTTTTGAAAGTTAAGGCAAAACCAAGGGACGGATCATAATGGTATGACACTGGATGTGGTGTTCAGTTCAAAATTCAGATTTTGGGGAGCTTTGTCCCCCAAAAAGCCAAGGGAGGTGCACTTCTGCTGAGTTCAGCTCCACAGTGCCTGTGCTTGAGCGTGAACACTGAGTGCCAGGAGGACAGCCCAAGCAGGAGGTGGCAAAGGCAGGCTAGCGTCCGGCAAACCTTATCTGGCCAAAATAAGGAACACTCATATAAATTTTTGCTCACTGGGCAAACTGAACTCTCGTTTTGAGGCTGTGGGATATTTTTCCTTTTCACTACTTTTTTAAATTTGCGTACAGCCAAAAATTGAAGAGGAAGTACCAAAATACTATGAAGCAAGCTAGTCTCAGTGTTTTCAGCTCAGTAGGAAGTATTTAAAAAGTTTTGGTTTTTTTTTTAGATGCTGAGCACTGCCTGGATGCTCGTTGTCCTTAAAAGGGTCCATTGCTAGCAGGAGCAGGGCATTTGTGGTAATTCAAATAAGATGAGCTGTCACACATGAATGCTCTGGTTCCAGTTTTCTGCAGAACTTGAATCCATCAGGGAGCAATCAAAGTTCTCCACAATGAGGACCAGCAACTATCTGCTGTGTACAGAGAAAAGGCAAAGGGTGGGCTTTCTCGCTGGGGCTGCCTTTACAGTCAGTGGAAGAAGATATGGAATTCTACGTAGACATTGCGGAAGTTTTTTCTTTCTTTCTTTCTAACAGCGTCTTTCATTCTCTTAACTAGGCCAGCTGGACCTTTATCTCATCTTAGGCATAGCAGGAGGTGCAATCTTCTTTGTCATCTTCGTGATTTTGCTTATTTATTGTATCAGGAAGAAGAAAGCAGAAAGACTTGAAGATGATGGTAAGTGTTTAAGGGACTTTATGTTGCTAACCAGCCACCTAAAATCTTAGAGCTCCTTGCTGACAGCACCCCTGTGGGCAGGAGCATGCTCTCTGCCTTGGCATGAGCAAGAACCTGGTTTTGGCATATGGCGGATCTCAGCAGATTGACTGGCATTGCCAGTCTCGGTTTCTGATACATGCTTTGAACAAAAGACTTCTTGTTCTCAAGCCCTTTTGTTTATTCTTGGGGGAAGAATTGCTCCTCTAAAGCTTGGCCAAGACCACCAGTCATGAGCATCCGTGGGGCTAAAATACACAATTAGATATCCCGGCAGCAGATTTTTTTCATTAAATTTATACGGTGTAAAATTAGGATCCTTGAAATCATTAGCCACATTTGGAAACACTGTAGATAGTGAGAAGGGGCAAGAAGGACTCAGCTTTTCTGTGAGTTTCCTAAGGCATCTCACAGAATTTACCTTCTCTACAAAACAATGTCCTTGGAGGCCTGTCACCACTGGAGGTCCAACTTGGGGTACTTTAAAGAGTTGAGGTTTTCAGAGTGGGCAGAGATTTTGTCTGTTGTGCAAAATACATGCCTCTTTAAGACCACAAGATTTCTTTAAGATTTCTTTAAGATTCTTTAAGACCATAAGCCTCTCTAAGACCATACTCTGCCAGAGTCTTCTCTGAGAGCGGGCTCTCAGTCGAGGTTGCCTTGAAGCGCAACCCTGGGCATTGCTGCTAGTTTGGGTGGACAGAGGATACTGAGCTGCTACTCAAGAAGAGTTGTCTGGCCCACCTGGAAGGGGAGGCTAAAGCAGGAGGGAGGTCACCCTGCAGCCAGGGGAGCACCTCTGCCGCTAAAGGCTTGTTTCCGAGTCCTGCCCCCACACACTGTGTCAGGCTTCCTGTGTAGTCTTAAATAACAGCTAGTCTCTGTGTGAGTCGGTTCTCAACTTACAAAATGGGAGTAAAAGCTCCTTTGTACACCACAACAGTCTTTGTCAAGATAACAAGGGCAATGCCTGAAGGAAACCTCAGCTGACAGCTCAAAGGTGCTAGTGGTTAGGCTGACAACAAGGGTAAGCATGACCAGTCCCATGGTCGAGGGGAGTGCAACCTCACCGCACCTGAGTGTGGGTAACTCGCCATGGCCCTCCTGCTCCCCCCAAAGTTACAACCATGAAGAACAGGCAACCGCTTTCCCCATTCTCTGGGAAAGCTCACCAGAATGCAACCACAGGATGTCGTCGCAGAAGGCTTGCCATAGCTTGTGAGCACAACGCTGGTGTGAGCCTAGCCATCTGAGTGTTATTTTACATTATGGCTGTTTGTGTTTGAGTGGGATACATGACTCCCTCAACTGTGCAGTGATAGCATATCCTCAATTCTTGGGTCTGGATTCAGCAAGAATTAAGAAAAAGAGAAGTATGGGAAAATGAGAACTGATATAAGAGGATGACTAGCCTCTCTGAAACAGTTTGGTGTGGGCTTAAGGCCATGTCAGTGTCCCAAGAGGTAAATCCCTCAATCCCTAAGCTAAGCTGACTGTCATTTCAGAAATGGTGAGTCAGTGATCAAAAGTCAGCTGGCAGGAATTTACTTCTTCTACATGTGGGGAAAGGAATGCTGGCAAAGTGGAGCTCTGGCTTCCAGGTGCCTGGAAATGCCAGCACACATAGTGGCAGAGCAGAGTGCTTTGATGTTGCCTCCTGGGGTTACAACTCACTTTCCAAAATAGGACAGAGCAGCTCAGGCTGGGGGTGTCTGCTGGGGCTGCCCTGGCAAAGTCAGTTCTCCCAACACAGGGCAGAGCTGCCCCAAAAGCCCCCAGGTACCTTGACCTCAGCCAGCGAACCAAAAAGCCTTTGGGTTTGCCCAGGGTGCGCAGGCAGAGGTAATTTTCGTTGCTGCACTGGAGTAGCAGGAACACCTGAGAGTGACAGTGACTTTTGAGGTAAGACCAATATTTGTCTTTTTCTTGCTTGGGCCAAGCGTTTTTCCCTGGCTGTTCAACTTCTGCTTAGACTCGAGTAAGTGCCTGACTGCCACGTCCTTCTGTTGTTGCAGACGAGGAGCGAATGCCACAGGCTCGCCGGGCGGACAGTGAAATGGTGGTGCGGGAGCTCCCTCAGCCGCTGTGCAACCCTACCCCGAAGCAGCTGCGCGTGCAGCAGCGGCCGCTGCCGCAGCCCCAGGTGCAGCAGCAAGCAGTGCCCCCGCGGCCCAGGCCCCGCACTCAGCAGCAGCCTACAAACCACCCGAGACAAAGACCTTGAACATCTGCCCTGGGAGGGACGATGGTCTCTCTGCTCCACCATTCACTGGGAAAAGAAAGTTTCCAATAGTCAGGAACCCCTCCCGCCCAGCCTTGCATAACGCTCAGCTATGGAACGGCAGCTTTCATTGCAGAAAATTAGAGAGAGCATCAAATGGAGATGAAGAGACCCAGTGGAGGAGATTCAAGGTGATGGGCATTCATCCCTGTGGCCATTTTTCTTCAAGTGTCTCCATATTAGGGTACGGAGCATTGAGTCTTGAAACCTGTGTCTTTCTGTGAACAAGTGTGGTTCACTTGTTTTTACCACACCTTGTTGTCTTCGTGCTTTTTGGATGGATTATATCAAGAAGAAGTTAAAACTCTAGTGAGGCAACATGGGTCTAAGGATCTTAAAGAGTTTTGTCACATCTCTTTCCTTTCTCCTGCCACACATTAGGACAGCCCTCTGGCTTCAGCATCAAATGCATGACCTCCTGGATCAAAAAATAGTTGTATGTAATTAAATGCTTGTCTGAAGTTGAAAGAATTGGTGTCATCTAACGCAGAGAAGAAAATACTGAAAGGAGATGTGAGAGCCCTGAAGCATGCGTGTGGCAAAAACACAAGTGGGAAAGGAGTAAAGTTTTCAGCTTATCTACCATGTTTAGAACAAGAAACCACAGGCTTAAATTGCAGCAAAGAAGAGTTAGGTCAGGATTTTTTTTTTTTTTTTTTTTTCTCAAACAAAGCCTTTTCAGCTTATCTACCAAGTTTAAAAAAAAAAAACCCCAGGGTTAAATTGCAGCAAAAAAGAGTTGGGGAAGGATTTTTTTTTTTTTTTTTTTTTCCTCAAACAAAGCACCAAAATAGATTTCTGGGAGAGGATCTCCAGCACTGGGAGTTTCAAAGGGTGAATGAGGCAACCATCTGTGAGGCATCCTCGTCCTGCTGAGGGCCAGGGGAATGTGCTACATGGCCTCTCCAAGGACTGTTTCAGCTCAGTTTTCTGTGACTCCTTGCTGGCAAATAAAATGAAACTTTATTTTCAGCATAGGTCTGTCTGGCTATCCAGACAATTGGTTTTGTCATAGAAGAGGTCTGGTATCCATTGGCTCATGAAACAAGTGTTACAAACTGCCAAGCAGTCTAATTACCAGTGGCATTGTCTGAATTGACATGGCTTTTCATCGTAGGGCCTCCTGATGATGGTGAGGGACCATGACCCTTCATTTTGCTGGTAAGCACCTCATGTATAACCAGCTGATGATACAGAACTGCTGAGATCTCCCTCCCAAAGGGAGAGGTTGGACTGCAATAACTGTGCCTGCATCGCCCTCCACGTGCTGGACAAACACTGCTCGCTCCTCTGGTCCTTGGAGATGTCTGTAACTGCCTCTATGGGACAGCTGAGGAGCCGAGAGAGGACAGACCTTTTTAGAGCAATGTCTGAAGGGGTACACCGGCCCACCTGCTGTAAGAGGCAGTGCAGGTGGAGGAGGAGAGAACTGTGAGAGCCACAGAGCACGAGACATCCAGCTAGCACGTTGTGGCATTAGGCAGAAGAACGTGTAGTACCTCTTTCAGGCTTGACTATCCTACCCACGCCAGGGGAGTTAAAATGGCCATCCTTTGTTCTCCTCAGAAGTGTGACTATTTTTATCTTCTGGTACAAGGGCAGGGAAGTAATTTGTCAGGGAGAAGGAGGTCTCTGCCTCCTCCAGAGCTCAGTCACTTTGCTTGAACTCCGACAGCAGACGCAGCCCTGGGAGTGTCACTTGGTCTTGCCTTAGCTTTCTGCAGCTTGTTTTAGGGCTTTCACTATTTAAAGTTGCATTTGGTAAACGTTTCATGGTTTATTTTGTAACATAGGCTATATCCCTGTAGTGAATGAATAAAGATGAGAGTGAGTGGAGAGGATCTTAGTTCACACCTGCACACCTGTGCTGGTACTTCAGTATCTGTATCTCACTTTGGTACAAAGGAGACAAGAAAAATGTTTTGGTCTCTGAGCCACGGAAACATGGACACAGGAGGTTTCACACCGATCCCCAGGAGGCAGCGGCTGCCACCTGAGTGCTGGCAGCTGGTGGGCTCGGGTTGGTGTGGGTGAGCACAGCCACTGTGCCCGCCTGCCTGCTGTGGCAGCGCGCTCTGCCTGTCCTGCGTGGCCAGAGCTTTATCGGTGCCTTCTCCAGAGCAAGCGGCCGAGCTGGGACTCCTCTGTGGTTACGGGAGCACTGGTCCTTCCTGGGAGAGAGGGAGGGTTACTGGGACCTAAGGAGGAGAGCGGGGTCCTCCTGGGACCCCCTGCCACTGAATAGTGCTCTCTGTACCCTGAGCTTAACAGAGCTGCAGGAATGGTTTGGAGGGGCTCCTTGCCCACTGCCG